GGTTGCACGGGAACACAAATATGTATGTTGCAGTAATATAGATACTCTACGTGGTACGATCACAGATAATAATAATAATAATAGTAGTAATAATAATAATAATAGTAACAACAATAATAACGATAACAACAAGAAGAACAACAACAACAACATACGACGAACTATACGCTAGAACGAAAATATAATAAATGGTACACACATGCATGCATCAACTAGGTGTCTAGGTACCCACCCGGGTGTGAATCCCTGATAGGTGGGCACTTGTTGCTGCTGGATAGCAGTGGGAGCCTGAGAAGGCGCGGCGGTTACGTACACCGGGGGTGGCACGGCATGGGCTCTTGAACGCACATGTGCGTACTCCTGGTACAGGGGTTGTCCCAGATGTTGGGCACTTCCTATTACAGGCCCCCCTGCAGGACTTCTGCCGCCGCCACCGCCCCCAGGACTCAGGTGGGCCGGATGCCCATGATGACTGTGGGTATGACCCGGATGGGCTGCCGAACCCACCACCTGGCTCTGCCTACAAAACCCAAAACAAAATCCAACCCTTCGTTATGCAATTCCCATGCGTTTTGTTTATTTTTTTTTTTTTTTTTTGTTTCTTGTTTATACTTACTGTAAAGAAGTCTCTCTCTAAGAGCACAGAGAGACCAAACCGACAGAGAATCAAATGATAGAATCTTTTTTCTTCTTTTTAGAAGTAACATAGAAATTCATGCATTTTACTTGCCTATCTCTATATAGAGAGCGTTTGCCAGTGATCGGTTTGGTCATTTCTTATTCAAAGAGAAAACCTTACATGCATTCTGAGAATTCTACGTGCATACAATTCTCGATTAACTAGCTAAGATAGTCTATATGCTATTGTTTTTGCTAGATTCTTCTAATTAAGAAACTCTGTGTGTATGATATAATACTGCATGCTTCACAGTGATCAGTGCGTGTATATGTTGTGTGTGAGAGAATGTATCGGTGTGTGTGTGTGCGCGCGCGCGCGTGTGTGTGTGTGTGTGTGTGTGTGTGTGAGTGTGAGGGACGTTGAAACGTGACATGCGACGAGAAGATGCTGACCTATACTGATGCACAGTGTTCGCCACCGCCCATTTCTGGTGATCTCTGGAATGAGCAGCTGGTGGTTGAACGTACTCGTGCTTGTATTCAGTTCTCTTTCCAGGCCATGATACCCGCTTGTCCGTGCCGGTCGTGTACACGATATGCTGCTCTTGAAGGTGCGGATGCGCGCTACTCGTGGTCACATACTGCAAGAAGTAGTCATGCATGTCATAGCCATCATCCTAGAAAAACATTTCCAAAAGAAAGATTACTAAAACAGGGATAGGGGTTAGACCAATGAAATGCGAAGAGAGCTGTGGAATCGTCGTAGTTTCCTTTTCTCCACGTTAGCACCACCCAGAAAATCTCGGTTTGCTCGGTTGAAATTAATTGTAGAAAAAGAAGAAAAAAGAGAGAGAGAGAGAGAGAGAGAGAGAGAGAGAGAGAGAGAAATAGAAATAAACGAGGAGTGCAAAGAGAATAGAAGACGTAGAAAAGAGGTACGAAGAATTGAGAAAAATGAAAAGAGAATGCGTATAAAGTGAAATTTAACCTGATAGGTCGGTGGCTCTTTGCAAGCTGGCGCGTGACACGGATGTGGTGCAAGGTACTCAACCCCGGGCTCTGGTTTTGTCGCAACATTCACCATATTATACTCGGACTGTACTTTCGCCAATAATCGTTTCTTTTGCGATTGAGAAGAATATCCAGAGCTGCTACTGTAAATCAACAACGACAAAGGATTGACGTCAATTGGCTGATGTTTTTTTTATTCGGACGTTATGAAGTTCCGACCGACTATCTAATTACCTGCTGACGTGATGTTGTTGTTGGGGCTCGTGTTTAATTAACTGCGTAGTTTGTTGATGCTGAGGATGTTGCGGCAAATGTTGATACAGATGATTATGCGCTCGGCCTGGACTAGCCTCGCCATCGCTGTCACCCACGGTTACACAACTGATTATATTTTTCCGCTGAGCTCTCTGAGAGGTACTATGAGTTGTTACGTGCCCGTTCGTATGGGATTGACTACTCGAATGAGTTTGTTGCATCGGTTGGACCACGCGTGGTGTTGACTGCGTGCTGGAAACGAAAAGAGAAACAGTGGATTGTTAATTGCACGTGAAACGAACAGAAAAGCGATATCTCCGTAACAATTTTTTTTATAGCGGGTTACATTCAGCATGAAAAAATGGCTTTAAACGCTAGAGCTGTAAATCAGAGTGTTTGTCGGTTAGTTTATGGTTGAGACAATTGATACACTCCAAGCGCTAAAACCGTGTTTCAAAATTTGCCCATATTATATATATGTATACAATATTATTTAAAATGAAATTTTTCGCCCTGTAAAATTTTTGTACTTTTTCTCATTCGTCAGAGTGGAAAGTATAGAAATTAACAAGTTTCGAAAAGGTCAATTAGAAGCACTGTGTTATGTTCATGTTCATAGCGATTATCAACCATTAATCGATGCTATTGTGTGATTGCGTGTTACTACGTTACATGTACCTTCGGATGACTTCCTCGCGGACTGGACGTCCATCGCCAGACAGGCGAGTTGCCAAATTTTGACAGGCTCCGCATTGCCGATCTCCACAGCTGTCAATGATATTCATGCATGATTCCACTACTTTCTATTCTACTGATAAAATACTAGTAAATACATTCCACCATTGGGAATAACATCTCTAGACGAAATTTATTCGTAAATCTCGGTTTCAAAGACAATGCAATATTTATAAAGGAAAGAACGAGAATAATCTTCCATATTCATATGGAGCAGTGTAAAATTTTGAACGAAGCAAAGTAAAAAGGAAAGAAAATACATTCGTGTTGCCGTTCACAGTTTCCATTGCACTCGTAAGAAATGTGAAACTGTTTCTCTCTGGTGAATCTTAGAATTTTTGCGGGCAATACTATCATCTAACTACCGTCTAATATACTACGAAGACGAAGAGAAATGGTATCTCACCATTTGCCCGGTGTTTCATCCTCGCTATCACTGATAGTGATAACAGATACTGCTGGTGATGGTGTATCGTGTATCGTGATGGTTTGCTGCCGACCAGATGTAACTTGATGATGTTCTATGTTATGACTACTGCTGTGTTTGCTGCTGTGATGATGTTGCTGTATGGGTTGCTGTTGCCAATGACCGTTCGATGGCGAATGACGTCTCATGTTGCTCGGTGGTGTGCTCTCTTTAACCCTCTTCTTCACCGGACTCAATTGCTGCGTCTCCTTCTTATGCTCGTGCCTGTGTTGAGACTGTTGCGGTACCGTCACATGATGTTGATGATGCTTCGTCACACTACGTTTACCCCAACTTTGCGATGGATGCTCGACAAGGGCGCTAGTATTGTACACTTCCGTGACAGGAAATACTGGCCGCTGATCCTTCCCCAAAACAAGGGAGAGAAGTTAGATACTAGTTCGTTTCTACGTAAGATTTCTACGTAAGATGGTAATAATTCCCCTACCTGCAAGATAGCTGAACTGTCCACGATAAGAGGTCTTCCCCAATCTCCAGCATCGCTCAGTAATGGTTGCTGTATGGCTGCATGTTGCGGTGGCAACTGCTGCCACGATGGTACGATAGCAGCCATTTGACGACTTCCACCAGGCCAAGAGGTTTGTACCGCATTCTACATGTAGAAAGATCGAATTAACAGCTATTCGGAGACACTCTGGAGCAGTTGTTTGGTTCGTCGACACTTACAGTTAACAACATTTGCCGTCCAGTTTCCACCATGGACACAGGAACCGCGGCGTACTGTTGCTGTGCAGCCGCAGCTGCAGCAGCAACAGCCTGCTGCGATATGATCGATGGTTGGATCTGTAGCGGACCTTGTTGCGCTTGTGGAGGCTGCAAAGAGCGTTATACGTGATTAAACGATCACGAATGTACAGGGACAACAGAATAACAAGTGAAAATCATCGTCTCATTTACTTGAGCAACAACTACGTGTTTCGCAGGACTTGGCATCGTCTGATAACTGGGTGGATGACAAAGAAGACCAGGCACCAATTGATGCGGAAAGTCGTGCACTCCACTCCGTCCACTGTTCGATCCACTAGACGAGCTGCTGTACTGAGTTGCACGACGACTAGTATTACTGTATATTTGATACTGAAAGAAAAGAAATACAACGTGATACAAATTGAACTCTGTGCGCCAACATACGGGGTAAATATATCGAGGAGCGTAAAACCAACGTACGAAGAAAGGAGTAAACTAACAAACGCGAGAACAGAAGATAGAAAACTCGAAGTTCAATTAACGCAGGGCGTTGAAATCTCGTCGTATCTCGCTGGAGGGTTAAAAAAGAAGGTTCATCTACGAACCAGATTTTCATATCCTGTTTGCGCAGTACGATGCTCCCTGACCAATCGCTGTACTTGATTGGTCAACTGGTTGTTAAAGGTGAAAGTTACGGCACTGCCATTCGTCGTCGGCACAAAGTTAGCCACCAATGACGTTGGCTGAGGTGGTTGAGGTGCTGGAGGAGCTTGATGATGCGCTGGGCTTGCGGTGAAATCACCCGCTCGTCGGCAAACCTCCATCATTTGGACGGAAGCCTTAACATTGTTACAGTGTGCATAATCGACTAAGTGGGCCAGCGTAACAAAGGCATGGTTCAGAGCCTCCCCGGGTGTTATGCGGCGCTCCTATAAAACAAACGCAATACACAGTGTATACAGAATGGTCCTCTACATTCTAGAAGCCGAATCGTCGTAATTTTCAATATCGTTATTATGCACGATTGAAACATGAATTAGATATTACTACCTGGTCCATTGTGAGCATCCTCTTCAAGAGGTCAATGAACTCTCTCCTATCTGCTTTTTCAGCCAAAAGTTGACCACCCTCCAAATCGGTCGGAACATTAACTTGACCAATATCATCGAGACAGTTAAAAATATACTTTCTTGCCTCCTTTGATTTGATACCAGTTTCAGCCTCATGCTCTTCCGGTGTTTTTAATCGCCAAAACGGATATGTACCTGCGAGTAATTCGACCTTGTTACCTATACGTGTTCTCTACGAGAGAATTTCTCGGGGATATTCAATCGGTCGAGTACGATTACTTACTGTCCATGTCTCTGTAAAAGAATTTAGTTGTTTTGCTGGCATTGTTTAACATGTGCTCCGTCGGTAGGCCTTGCGTCTGACTAATATATCGAATCTGATCGTATTCCGAGCTACCAGGATATAGAGGCCAGCCTAAAAACAATTCCGCAACCACACAGCCGAGCGACCACATATCTATCGCTTCACAATATGGAAGTCCAAGTATAATTTCTGGTGCACGGTAGTATCGCGATTGCAAATACGTGTTGCAGACAGCTTTCGACACATGGGAGGCAGATCCAAAATCAATAACTTTCACACGATACGGCTGGCGTACTGGGTCCACCAGCATGATGTTTTCTGGCTTAAGATCAGCGTGAATCAACCCCAGTTGCTGCAGAAAAAGCAAAAACAATATACGTATTCGTCAGATTTCCCCCGGACGAGTCATTGAAAATCTTGGCAAAGCAGCTCACCTTAAGTTTCAAAAGAGCGGTGAGTACTTGTTGGAGAATCGGTCGGATATATTTGAGCGGTAAGGGTGAGAATTTATTCTGTTTCAGGAAATCATACAGATTCTGTTCTAGCATCTCAAAGACCAAGCAGGTGTGGGATTTGTGCTGGAAGCACTCATAAGCGCGCACAAAGTTGAACTCATCCGCGTTTTCCTGACTGAGTCGAGACAGGATGGAGACCTGTAACAAAACGTTTACAATTTTCACGATTTCGCCGAACAGTCGTACTTAATTCCAATGATAATAATTAATATAGCGCTTACACAACGTACCTCAATCTGCCCTTGGCGCGCATACGATGGATGGTTCTTCAAAATTTTGATGGCTACTATTTCGTTGGTTCCCTTTTTCCAGCATTTCACGACCTGTAGAGAAGAAAGAGAGGAAGCAGATGCTTGTAACGTCTCGAATAACAGGTTTAGAAAATCTCTTATTTGTATAGGACACAGGAGGGATCTCGAGGGGGTGAAGAAAGGAGGAAGAAGGAGAAAAGGGTCTTCTTACCTGTCCAAAAGTACCTCTGCCCAGAAACTCGAGGACCTCGTACTGATTAGTCATAGAATAGAGAACTTCGTGCTGGACCAACTGGTAATCTCCGTCTCCCTGGGGATTGCTGCCACCGCCTCCATTGGCAGCGTTGGTCACTTGCTTGCTATGTGCCGTCATGCCTGTCTGCTTGTGCTGTTGTTGCTGTTGCTGCTGTTGTTGTTGCAGCTGCTGTTGCTGTTGCGTATGGTGCTGCGACACTACAGTACTACCCACTGCGTTCGTCGCGTTGGCGGAGTGGACTGCCAGGCCGTCACCATTACCCTCCCTCGACCAAGTTTTTCTCTGTAGGAGGAATACACCTTATACAAAAATTTTTGGACGTTAAGAAATTGTAGATAGTTTTTCGTAGCTTTTTTTAATTTGGGTACCAGGGACGAGATTTGCCACGAGAACACAGTTTTTCTGGGGGGGATACACACTCTTTGTACCTAGCGTTGCGAAATAGACGATACAATTTGGGAAGCAGGGACGAGAAATTTGCCTGGAGGACACACTTTTTTGGGTAACATACTTTGTACCTAGCATTGCAAAATGGAGAGAGAGAGAGACGATACAATTTGGGAACAAGGGACGATTGAGATTTTGCAACGAGAATACACTTTGTTGGGACCCAGCACTGAAAAATAGAGAGAGAGGGACGATAGAGATTTGCCACGAGAACACACTTTCCTTTGGGTCAAACTTTATACCTAGCATTGCAAAATAGAGAGAGAGACGATATAATTTGGGAACTAGGGACGATAGAGACTTGCCACCAGAACACACTTTGTACCTAATATTGCAAAATAGAGAAAGAGAGACGATACAACTTGGGGACAAGGGACGATAGAGACTTGCCACCAGAACACACTTTGTACCTAATATTGCAAAATAGAGAAAGAGAGGCGATACAACTTGGGAAGAAGGGACTATTGAGATTTGCTACAAGAATACACTTTTTCGAGGGAACTAACTTTGTACTTAATATTGTAAAATAGAGAAAGAGAGACGATACAACTTGGGAACTGGGGACGATAGAGACTTGCCACCAGAACACACTTTGTACCTAATATTGCAAAATAGAGAAAGAGAGGCGATACAACTTGGGAAGAAGGGACTATTGAGATTTGCCATGAGAATACACTTTTTCGAGGGAACTAACTTTGTACTTAATATTGCAAAATAGAGAAAGAGAGACGATACAACTTGGGGACAAGGGACGATAGAGACTTGCCACCAGAACACACTTTGTACCTAATATTGCAAAATAGAGAAAGAGACGATACAACTTCAGAACAAGGGACGATAGAGATTTGTCACGAGAACACACTTTCTTGGGAACTGTGGACGATAGAGATTGGCCACGAGAACACACTTTTTTGGGAGGGGCAAACTTCGTACCTAACATTGCAAAATAGAGAAAGAGAGGGGCGATACAAGGAGAAAATCGATGGATCGAAATCGTCGCAATCTCATCTCGGTTACGCGAGGCACACGCATACAAAAAGCTATTGAAAATCAGTGGAACAAATACAAACGTTACGAACCGGTTGAATAAAGTGGAACGAGCATCGTCAATTCTACCCCCGTTTCTTTTCGTTCGAAGACAAAAGGGAAAGCAAAGCGTTATTTTGCAACGTTTGAAAAACGGAGAAGAATCTTCGCCATTGAGATTTAACCCTTTGCACTCGAAGATCGTTTTGCTAGAAGAAAAAGCAGCAAACCTTGTTAAAAAAATGAAGATTTATTGCCTTGAAAATTGATATTTAATAATTGCTAAAAAAAAAATTTTTCAGCATGTGTATAATTCACATAGATCTACAAAACGTATTTTTTAAATTTTCATTACGAGTTCAGATAAAAAAGTTTCGCTAACCTCGCTATTTTCTTCGCGATTCCGACTAATTGCAGTTTTTTTCAAAATTTTATATAGCAAAGTAATTCCTTCTAACTTATTCAAAAAGCTCAAGCTGTTTGATCTAATTTAAAGGGGTATTCTAGTCTAGAGTGTCATTTTTTAGTCCTTCTTAGGGATTTTTTTGTAAGGAAAGTATAAGTTTCTCAGTATCGGCATTTTGCATACGTATTTATTCACGTCTTAAGAAAGTTCACAATTTTTTCCAAGTGAAAATAATCAAAACTGTCTGAATTATATATTATTCAGTGCGGTCCCTTTAAGAAAAAGTGTCCTACTGGCTGACACGATTCCGCCCATTCTGCTTATCCAAAATGAAAAAACCAAAAGGATTCTTGATTAGTACGAATGTGATTATGGTGTGAACCAGAATGAACAAAAAGTAGTGAAAATTTACAAAATGGCGGCACTTTGAATTTTGTGTATCGATTTCTTCGACTTTTTTCGTCTTTCAGAGGCCCTAAAAATCAGAAAAATACATATTTTGGCATAATTCTGGTTCAGACGATACCGGCACATCCACCGAAGGTGCACGTCTCTAAAAATCAGAGAAATACATATTTTGGCATAATTCTGGTTCAGACGATACCGGCACATCCACCGAAGGTGCACGTCAAATTTCGAGTCAATCGGACAACTACAACTTGAGATCTCATGTCAACCATTTAGAAAAACACGATTTCGAGAAAAACGCGTTTAAAGTTTCTCGTACCAGTTACACGAGAATACGGGCTACATGTCGTCTTCTTTAACCATCTATAACTTCGTCAATTTTACGAATTCGGAAAAATCGGAAGTCTACTTTCAGAAAATGTAAAAAAATAAAATCGATTTTGTCGAAAAGTCGACTAGAATACCCCCTTAAAAAAAGAAGTTACTCTGCTTCGAAGAGTGTCCACATATTTCTGTCCTCGACTGTACGTTGCTTACAATTTGCGCGTTAATTATTTACCAAATGGTAAACATTAACCTCGCTTCTCACTCGCCGCTCTAGAGTGCAAAGGGTTAACGGATCCATACGGAAGTGCATCACGATGACCGGTATGAAATATGAAATGAAAGCCTTGAAGGCAATCGATAGGTAACTACGCTGTACGGAAAAGTTGCTCGCCTAGCAAAAGCAAAACTATCGTTTCATCGCGGTTGGTTGCAGCACACTCCGGTGCCGCCGCTGGTACCAAACGCGATCGACGGCCAACAGAAACCGATTGTTTCGCTTCCTAATTATCGCCGTCTGAATACCGAGAGAGCTCGAGTATCGATTCCAGCGCGAAACGGTTTAATACGATAGACGTGGAGAGAGCACGGACAAAAGGCTTCGAAGGCTCTTTATGCTTTCGCGAAACGAGGCTACCTTTGTGAAAGTTAGTCCATCAGGAGTATTAGACGATATTAATCTGCGGCGAACGTTACCAGCCGGCCGATTATCATTCCGCGGATATATAGGTTCTCCAAGTTTTAATAAACGCTTCGAGGAAACTTGGCCGCAACTCTCTGTTCAAACCGCACACACGATTTGCCTTTGATATTCGGTGGAAACGCGAACAGGATAAGGAAGTTGATCTTCCAGATTTTTCCCAGACGAGGAAAACAAGCGAGGAATGACACAGACGACGAGTGTGTTTGTTAGCCGCTGAAAGGAAACGCACTATTTTTAGAGAGAGCTGCGTCGCGGACAAGTGCGGAAACGAACGGGGAAAAACATGCTGAGACAAATATCGGGAGATTTGTTATCAGATGAAACCAGATGGATGTCGAAATACGGTATGAAAAAGACACTTGGTTGAGTATTATGTCGTTCGGTGACAAAAACTGACGTTTTACAAAGAGGGGGAACTGAGAAACATTTTTGTGTAAGATTTTCAGCGTCTCGACTTGGCTCGAGGATAAAAGAAACCTGAGGATTATTTTCTAAATAACGTGTGATTTAGATTATACTCGGTTGAAGGCGAATAGAGAGAGAGAATACATTATTCTTGATTACGAATCTTCTAATTTAAGAGTATCGCTAGCATTGGTCTGTAGCTATGGTTGAAGCGTTAACGGCAGAGAGAAGCTCGAGTATGATGGAAAGAAAGAAGGAAGAAGACGAGCAGCGGTGGACTTTCCTTCGAGACGATTCTCGAGCACAGGTCAGAAAGAGAGTTTTATCGGTAAGAGGTGATCGGAGGAAGTTGCACCAACCTTCTGGCCACAGCGTTGGTACGTGTCTAAGAGCTTGATCGTCGAGGCTCGTACCAAGGTCTGTTGGTTCGGGCTACTCTTCTGCAGCGCATTATTGTTGTGCAGCGAGCTAAATGCGGTATTAGCACCGTTCACGGAGTACCGTTGTTGCAGACCGGTATTGTCTAATTGGTAGTCGCCGGTCGATTGGACCAATGCGTGTTGGATCACCGGCTGACTCACGTTGTACTCCAACTTGCGTTTCTTGCTATGGTGGTGAACGGTGTTGTTACTGCTGCTGCTGCTGCTGCTGCTGCTGCTGCCGTTGACGCTACTCGTCTGCTGTGTTTGGATGAACATGTCACACATTCCCTGTAATCATAAGGAGATAAACGTGAGAATTTGTGGGATTCAGGGTGTGAGAGAACCCGAGAATGTCGGGCATTCGATGATCGGAATGAGTCGGGGAGAGATCGGGTCGGGTTCTGAAAGTATCTCGCGACTGAAGAATGTCGGATTCTCAAGAATTTCGAGAACCCAAAAATGTCGGGAATTCATTGGTCAGGGAGAGATTGAGTCGGAGAGAGATTGGGTCGGAGAGAGATTGAGACGGGGAGAGATTGAGTCGGGGAGAGATTGAGTCGGAGAGAGATTGGGTCGGGTAGAGATTGGGTCGGGCAGAGATTGGGTCGGAGAGAGATTGAGACGGGGAGAGATTGAGTCGGGGAGAGATTGGGTCGAGGAGAGTTTGAGTCGCGGAGAGATTGAGTCGCGGAGAGATTGAGTCGCGGAGAGATTGAGTCGCGGAGAGATTGAGTCGCGGAGAGATTGAGTCGCGGAGAGATTGAGTCGAGGAGAGTTTGAGTCGAGGAGAGTTTGAGTCGAGGAGAGATTGAGTCGGAGAGAGATTGAGTCGGAGAGAGATTGGGTCGGAGAGAGATTGGGTCGGAGAGAGATTGGGTCGGAGAGAGATTGGGTCGGAGAGAGATTGGGTCGGAGAGAGATTTGGTCGGAGAAAAATTGGGTCGGAGAAAGATTGAGTCGGAGAGAGATTAAGTCAGGGAGAGATTAGGTCCGGTCCAGTTGGATCCCGAAAATATTTCGCGACTCGAGAATATTGGAATTCCAAAGAATTTTGAGACCCCGAACGACATTTCACAACTAGCTTTGTTGAATACTAAAGGTGTGCAAGAACCCGATTCTCAGGGAGAATTGGGAAGAAATCGGAACCCGAAAATATCTCGCGACTCCAGAATATCGGAATCCTCAAGAATTTCGAAAACCCGATGCTCAGGACGGGTCACATATCTCGCGACTCGAGAAAATCGGGATTCCCAATAATTTCGAGAACACGAACAACATTTGAGGACCGGCTCTGTCGAATACTAGAGGTGTGCACGAGCCCGAAAATGAGGGAAACCCGATGCTCGGACGGGTCGCGAAGAGATCGAGTTCCAGAAAGTATCTCACGACTCAGGATTGTCAGGATTCCCGAGAAATTTCTCAACAACCATAGTTTCGAATTTTTTTATTTCCGAAGCATTTTCGAATCCCCTAGTATAAAATAATTCGCAAGAAACGTGATTCAGGTTCTCGAAATTTTCGGAAATCCCGATATTCTCGAGATACTTTGAGAAAAATTCTCTTTCTGAACCGACTCAGTATTTTCAGGTTTTCGCGCAGTTCTAGTGTACACCACCCTGAGCCGTCTAAAAATAGTATACTAAATGAAAAGTTTCAATTTTTTCGGAGAATATAATTGTATCTTTCAACAATTTTCTCCAATTTTTAAAAAGTTAAAATGTCACAAAATGTGCGCCTTGGCTACAGACCTAAAGTGAAGGTTTGTCGGCTGGAATTCGCTGGTTCGATTTCCTCTTAATGGCTCAAATATTTCCCGAAAGTTTTCACGGTTTTAAGCCATTCATATCGAAGAAAACATAACTCCGTTGAAATTGAACAGTTTTATTTAAAATAATTTCCATAATGTTCCGGCAGTTTCTTTCTCTTAGAAACTCAAATTTTTATATACATATGTGGAATTTTAAAAAATCACAAATTTCATAGTAAACATTATGGAAATTATATTAACTACTGCGACAGGTTTTCAGTAGATGTTCAATGTTTCGGCGTTCTAAAATTTACAAATTCGTTTTATTAAATTACGACGAAAGTGCGCAAAGAGCAAAAATTCGAAACAAAATTAAGACGAGAGTGTGACAAAAGGCGCCAACAACCACAGACTAAGAAAATTTCCAACCCAACTAACACTCGAAACAAAAATCCTCCACAAGCATTGAAACTTCAACTAAAACCGTTCAATTTCAACAAACCGACATTTTTTCAAAACGACCGTCTTGAAACCTCAAAAACTTTCCGTCTGACCTAATAGATCACTCCACTTTAGTCAGAATCGTTTCTTTTTCGCAATATCTGACGAATATTCCAAAATATTTGCTTACTTCAACGGCGAACGGACGCAAACACGATTATAAATGAATCTAGACGACACGATTACCGTTTCTAACTTATCTAAGAAACCGAGGTTCGACAAAGTGGTAAACAACAGCGAGAGAAAAAAAAAAACAGACCATCTAAAAATCAACTAAACAAACTCCGAAGCAAATGTAATAAAGATAGGAGGATCTCAGACAGAGAAAGATGATAGAATTTTTCGGCGTATATAACTCGTGGATGCTTTTCGTCTCGGGATGTTCGTTGCGAGAGATCAGCAGGGGATTCGAGCAACGTAAGAGAGAAAAAGAGAGAGAGAGAGAGAAGAGAGGGGACCCATCGTGCGTCGTGTCGTTCTGATTTAGGCGAACACCGAGAGGAGGAACCCACGGCTCGCCATTGCTTCTTCGTGGCGATGCGCGATATATAAAAAGTACGCAACTAACAGACCGACCACGACGACTATGAATATTTCAGAGTCTCTCTCTCCTTCGCTTGCATGTGCCTTTGTATGGTTCCACGGTGATTCGGGCCAGCGGCTCTCAAAAGGCGTCTACCGAATATCAGGTTTCCGCACGTTGACACTCTCCTACCGGCTGCAACCGCACGGCAAACATTTTCGGTTTCCTCTCCCGTAGCTACGGTATTGCCGTCTCCGCGAGAACGCACCTTTTCGAGAAGGTGTTCCCTGAGGAACTTTTCCGCGATCGTCACGATCTATTCTCAGTCGCCGAATTGTTCTACACTCGTCAATTTTGACCAAAGGGCTTGGGTTTCTTTTTGAGGAGCTAGAAGGGGTAGTTCAGTAGATGATTTGTGAAAGGAATTTTGAAAAAATTGTAACTGGTCGAAATCGCGAAGAAAGTGGGGAAGGTCGGTTTTTAGAAGTTGTTTGCATCTAATGAAAATTTAAAAAATACATTTTGTAGATTTATGGTAGTTACGCGTATGCTGGAAATTTCGTCGAAATTGGTCGATGCAGAAACGAGAGGCGGGCGTGGAAAGATGTGAGAATTAGTGGATTTGTTACAGTTGCAGGCTGAAAGTCGAGAAAAACTGTGATTTTCACCATTTTTAACCCTAGCGCGCTCTTCGTTTTGACTGCACACTTGAGACTTTTTGGTGAAAAAGGACCTAAGACCTTATGTGTAATAATTTTTCTTTCCAACGTGACATACGAACCTAGACGAGAAACGTTTAAAATAATGTTAAGGAACGTAAACTTGATAACAGCAAAATGACTGAAAATATAAAAAGGCGGTGGGTCAAAAAAGACCCGAAGACCGCTCTAGGGTTAAGCGTTTGTAGCTCAGAGCAACCTTAATCAATTTCGATGAAATTGTACTATAAATGATGTACTGTAACTGACATAAATCTACAGAACGTACATTTTAAATTTTCAATACAGACTCAGATAAAAAAGTTTCAAAAAGCAATTGCAGTTTTTTCAGAATTCTTTTTACAGGTCATCCAGTAATCTAATCCTTCTAGCTTCTCGAAAAAGCTGCAGTCCTTTGATCAAATTTTAATTACTCCTTTTTGAAGGATGTATGAAGAGTTCTGTGCGTGAAGTGTTCTCACGCCCGGTCAAATGACTAGGGTTTTCTGTTTTCTCCCACTCTTGTTAAAAATAAAACTGCAAATATGTAATCTTTTCTATTATTGTCTAAAGACTATTTTCCGCGTTGCTTCCTATATTCATCTGACAATCACCTGTGTTCCTTTCGGAAAAATATGATTACTTCCTAACCGGTCATTTGACCGCTTAAGAATAGGTATACACAAAATGTCGGTACGATTAGTGTTAATAATGTTTTGCATAGCTTCGATATTCCCCGAATTCTTCGAAATTTCTCAATATTCCAGCTAAATTACCAATCTGAACTTAACCCCTTCGATCCAACGAAAATCAATGTCTCGATCGATCGACGCTTAATCCCGCTAGAAATTCTTCCATTGAAAGAAAACTTCAACATTCCCACTTAGCGAGACAAACGCTTAATCTCTGGAACGCTCAGCCCCGAGGCGATACTGCATTTGCAAAATTCAGCTGCCGATAAGATAACGCTTGTTTCTCTTTCCCCCTTATCGATCGCGAAGAAAAGCTGCACGTGTACTCGAGTGCACGCGCCTCTGCTCGCGAAGGCAACTTCGTCGTTGCGATCTCGTTCGTGGAGAACGAGGAGAGAAGGTAAAACGGTTGGGAAAAAAAGAATTCCAAAACTGGTCTCTCTCGATCGATCGACGCGTAACGACGAATGTTTTGGAAACTTTCGATTTCTCTCTCTCTCTCTGTGATTCACACTCCCAACCGTGTCCTCCTGCTACCCCTTCTCGCGAGAACACGCGTCCACCTTCGTCTCTCCCTCGCCCTTTCTCCCTCTGTCCTTCTTCCGGCTATCCTCGTTTATCCGCATGCACGACGTGCTCTAATTATAGTGCCGCTTGTCAGAAATAGTGTTGCTCCGTATTATGAACGATCTACGGTACCGCAAAGTACAGTTACGTTTATGTTAACCGCCTCGACGGTGGATCTGAGAGAGAGAGAGGGAGAGTGAGAGGCGCGCGACGACAAATTAACAGTCTGTCTTATAATTGGTCCTCTTTTATCGAGCTACGTCTACGCTGTGTAACGTGACATGTATAGCGAAGTTATGAAACTTGTTGGAAAAGGGGGAAGAAAGGGGGTTACATAACGTTGCGTTAAATAACATTTTTCGTGACATACGGGGTGGTTCAATAATAATTACCAGCTTGAGTATCTCTGGAATCGTGAAATTAAGAAAAGATTTTCCGAACGAAAGCTGTTTGCTGCGAAAGGGACAAAGGAAATAAAAGTGTTACGTAATACAGTAATGTCTCCACAAGTGTCAGTCCGCAAGGAACCTAAATCTGACACTTGTAGAGTCAGGGACTAC